ACTGTCGATCACGGTATTGCTGTTATGGAGCTTGAGGTCCACCAGCGGCCTGATTCGCTTCCCATCTGCCTTTGGTTGGACAAATATAGGTGCCATACCAGGTGCTTGCTTTCTGTACATCACTCCTCTTCTAATTATTTCATTGATCCAGTCCCGCAACTGGTTCTTATATGCATCGGATATTGAGTAGGTAGGTTGAATTTTGAGGTTATTTGGGTCCTTGAAGGTGATTTGGAGGTTTTTTGCATGCATGGGAAATAGCTTTTCTGGAATCTTGTCGTGGAAGACATCTGCAAATTCTTCTAGTAGTTCATGAGCCACTGATTCGCATACTGCTACTCAAAATTCTCTACTAGTGGGAGTACAGAATACTCTGACTTTCTGGTCTGGGAATTCTATAACAGACTGGTCATATCTGATGACTGCCTTGTGTCAGGTGAGAAAGGGCATTCCAATGAGGGCGTCAAATTTGGCTACATTTCCTAGTAGCATCTTGTGTTCCAGAAACTTGACAGATCCTAGCTGGATCGAGACATTTACAATTTTATAGCTAGTAGAATGGGATCCTTTCACAGCCATAGTAACTAGAATTGGTTGCTGGAGGGTCTCAGTTTTGAGTCTATGGGTAACTGCAAAGGTGTTGCTGATCATGTCTGTGCCGATTGCCCCAGTATGAAAAAGGACTTGGGCAGGATGCCCATTGATTTGGATGGTTCCTTCTAGTACTCAGTGGGGTCTCTTCTCCAGTTTTGGTTGGATCAGGAAACACTGTATCTCCAATGTATTGATCTGCACATCCTCATATTTGTCTAGTTCTAGGTAGTTTGCTGCAGACTCCTTTTTGAGACCTTTCCTTTCCACTTCTTGGTTGGGCAATCTCGGGCCATATGTCCAGTTTTTCCACCCTCAAAACATTTTCCTTTTGCTCTGCATTTCTCCTTAGTAGATTGCTGTATGGTTTTCTGAAACTTGGATTTCTTTGTTCTTGATGGACCTGGTACATGGTCTTGCCATTCCTGTCGAGGGAGTGGTGGGGATCTGGTTCGGTAGGCATTAGTTTCATGCAATATTGCATCCTTTCACTCAGTTTTCTTTATTATGTCATGAATGTCATCATTATCTTCCTCCATTGGTTCCACTTCTCGGCAGAGTAGGGCGTACATAGCATCATGGAATCTGCGCTTCTGCATGTAGGCCGATACTGCACCATGGGGCATGCGCTTTGCATAGAGCAAGAGGTCTGTCACACTCTCTTAGTGATTCGTTCTGTTTTTCCACAGTAGGTCTGGCTGATACTGTTGAAAACATAGAATATTTCTTTACTATTTCAGGATGATTGGAATTGTTCCATCCATGCTTCTAGCACTCTTGTCATCCTCACTCCATTGCTATATGTGTCGATGCACTACTGGTAGGTATCGAGGGCTCCGCCTTCATAGAAGGCTCATATATACATTCCTGTCTTGTGCTCCTCAATGTTGATGCTATGTAGTCTCAGATATTGATGTACTGCCATCTCCCATCACTGGAAAGCTTCTGGTTTTAGGTTGTTACCTTTTCCTGAGAAACTTACTAGTAGCAGCAGTTTAATCTTAGGGGGGTTGACAAGTATGCCACTGTCTCCAGGTGCTCCTCCAGGAGGGTCTGGCAGTCCTGGGGGACCTCCAGGTAGGTCTCTTGCTGAGCTTACCATACTGTTTTTGCTATCGCTACTGCTGCTACTACTGTTGTCTTCTGGGCCAGGTGCGGTACCTGTAACTTCTTTCAGTAGTTTAGATAAACTTTCACTAGTTCTGACTTGTTTTCCCTTTCTGGGGGTAACTGGAAAGCCTCTGGGCATGGATAGGCTTTATTGGCTAAACTGTTCCTTGGATCCCTTGAAATCCTAAGCTGCATGATCTTGCACTAGCTGTCTTCCTGGATCGTCGATCTCAAACCCTTTTTTAGGTCCTTTTGGCTGACTTGGTCTCTTGGGCTTCATTAGCCCTTTTCTGGAGACCTGTTTCCTAATACATGTCATGAGTGGGTCTATTGTGTAGGTGGGATAGGCAGGCCACTGCTGGGCTCCTCCCCCTTTGTGCTAGCTTTACTGGTTTGTGCCTGTTGATCCTTGATCCAGCACACAAGTTTCTGACTACTTGCTAGGGTTAAAAAAATATAATGTGTTCACACCAGGGTGCTAGTCACACTTCCGGGTGCAATAGGAGTTGCACACAAGTTGATTGACAACTTATGGGCATACTGCTCTAAGGGAGGCTCTGAGAGAAAGATACAAAGAATAGGGACTTGAGGAGGTAACTGTTCAACCAAGTATATTAGAAATACTCTGTCTGTTAAAGTCTGCTGTTCCTTCAAGAGAATCAGTGGTCTTTAAATACAAGATTTCATTCATGTCTTGCATGGGCGAGTTCCCCAGTGTTCCTTAATCAAAACTACAAATAAAACAAACTGAGTATCAAAGGATACTTGAAACTACAAATAATACAAACTGAGTATCAAAGGAAACTTGAAACTACAAATAAAACAAACTGAGTATCAAAGAATACCCGAAATTACAAGTAAAATAAACTGAGTATCAAAGGATACTTGAAACCACAATGAAAACAAACTAAGTATCAAGGGATCCTCAAAACCACAAGTAAAACACACTTAGTATCAAAGGAGACTCAAAACCACAAGTAAAACAAAACATGAAACAATTCCCTGAGCCAAAGGGACTGAACTTCAGTTCTGGTTACAGTTATACTATTTGTTTCAGAGCTATCACCAGGGTCAAGGCAGCTCATTGAATGTCATTTCTCTTAGGAGTCCACCCTCAGTCTATTTGAATGGCTAAGAAGTTTACCTATGGTTGTACCCCAGTAAGGTTCTCTTTGCTATCCAATGTACATTCTCTGATAGAGATAAATTTGGCTCTTCTCATATACTTTTTTTCTTGCACCACCTTCGTCTTCTTTATATCACTTCTCCTCCCATCCCTTAGGGATATTCCTAGGATCATCTTGGGTGAGGTCTTGGTAGTGCTCTATATTTTGTCCTCTACCTCCATACTTGGCCTAGACTCTATTCCATATAGGGTGTGGAAGAAGGTTTATTACACTAATAATCTCCTCCTTCCCTCCCTGCTCAATCTCCTCCTGGCCCACTCCTATCACTCTACCTTTATGAAAAAGGGGAATGGGGTAGTATTTGACAAGCCTAGAAAGCCCAACTACTCCTTTCTATCCTCTTTCCATATTATAGCCTTGCTTGAAACTGTGTCCAAGATCCTTAAAAGAATTATGGCACTCCACTTGGCCACTCTGGCCTGCTCTAAAGGTCTGCTACATGTGCATCAATGTAGATCACTGGCTGTCCTAAGCTACTCTGATGCAATTTCTACTGTTTCCTATGAGATCAAACTATTTTAAGCAAAGGGTCTGTGTGTTTCCTCACTGTTCCTCAACAACAATGGTGGTTTTGACAATGTCAACAGAAACCAGCTCACTTCCATCCACAGGTGCACCCATACTCCACTGTTCCTGGTAGCCTGAGGGTCTTTGTTTCTGTCTTAGTGCAAGTACTGCCTAGTCTTTCAGAGGGCTCTAAATATATTTTCAGCTGTTTCAGTGGACACTCCCCAGGGGTCACCTATTTCTCTATTATTGTTTATTATATATGTTTCTTCTCTGTACCGAGTTATTCCAAGAGCTCTTATAGTTTCTTATGTGGATGATTTTTCTGTTACTGTTGCTTCTTCTTCCTACTATTGTAATGCTCACTCCCTTCAGTTTTATTTTCATTTACTAGACGGGGTGGGATGGAGGTTAGAGGTTGTCTTTTCTCTTCCTAAGACTGAGTTACTCTACTGGTGTATGCTTAGGAATAGATGTCCTATTTGTATTTTACACATTGGTCTTAATGGCATGGCTTTCTTTCCAGATTCCCACATACTATGGTTGAACTATCAGCTCACCTCTACTATGGATACATCTCTACACTTTATGTGGTACCTAGCCTTGACCCAGGCCTTGTTTGTACTCATTCACTATTTCTGCAACCCTGGGTAGGGCTGGTCTCCCTGGTATAACTGTAAACTTGTGGTAGGCTTGCTCCTACCCATCCTCACATTCGGGAGCAACTTCTTTGCATCCAACCCAACTATGCTTGGAAAACTTAACTCCTTTTAGTACCAGGTTCTTCGCTGTGTGACCAACTGCTTCTCCTTAACAGCTATTTTAGTCCTTTACTATGAGACTGCTCTCCCTCTACTTAACAAGATTCTACTTTATAAGCAGAGGGCCGCTGCACTCAGAATTGCTTATTCTCCTTCCTCTACGAATCCTGCCACTACCTGCCTCCACTTGGGGGTTCCAACCAGTGATTGGTAGCATGCTCCATCAAAACTGCCCCCTTCTCAAGGGTCTAAAAGGATGTGCTATGCCCATGCTCTGGTCCTTGACCCCATCTTCTAGTTACAAACACCTTCTACTTGATATAGCAATCCACCTCATTAAGGATGTTTTGCTGACTATTCTTTCTGTAGCTGCTTTCTATCTAATTGCTCCTTGGTCTTATGAGGCCCTGGATTCCCTCTCCTATTATAGTCTTAAGTTGAAGTTGAAGTTGAAAGAGTCTCTACTGGTGGGATAGAAGGTTTTGATGCCCCCCTGGGCATCCTACCAGTTCCTGCCTTCTACAACTCCCCATACCTTTATAGGCCTCCCAAGATTTGTACCAGGTTATCTCTATCAGATGCTGTCAGGAAAGAGCTACCTGGCTGCTCATAGATCTTGGTATTCTAGCCAGGAGCCTATACTCTGTCCTCTTTGTGAGTAGAATGAGGAAGACTTCAAACATGCTATTCTATTTTGTCTGGCTAAGGCCAGACAGTATGAAGGCTATCTTCAGGGCATTGACAGCCTAGGTCCTGATGCCCCTGTATGGTCCTTGGCTGACTCAGACCAAATTCGTTAGTTGGTTAATTATATTTCCTCTACTGTTACTGGTTTTCCATCTGTGATACCTACAATATGAGCAAACTCTGTTTCACCCTCCACATCTTCTTCAGGGTCAGCTAGATCACCCTGCTCTTCTTGTTAGCTGGCTGGGGGACCTGACTTGTTTGAGGCTCTCTTAACTGTATGGTTTTGCTACTTTATATTTTTCCTTACTTTCATTTGCTGCTGGGGGCACCCAGGAGTAGAGGTGGTAGAGGTTTACTTTTCTTGTGTTTGCTGCATTCTGGGCTTAGGCCTGGGGGTAGGAATTTCTTAACTTTACTTTGTTAGTCATCAAGGGTGATAGGAGGAGCTATTTTGCTCTGGTTTGAAGATACTACTGCATTAGTTGTGTTTCCTTATTGTTTTACACTGGAATTAATGTTTTTTTCTATTACCATACTGTGAGGTGCATGTACATTTTTGAACTAGAATCAATAAGCATATGAAATTAAAAAAAAATTAAAAAAAAGCTCGCAGGTCCCTCGTCCACTTCGCGCCGTCATTCGTGGTTTATCATGATGATGATCCCCCGTTTTTTGCAGTCTTTCTCTTTTTTTCTCTACCCCCCTCCCCTTTATACCCAAGTTCGTAGAATGCTTTGATCCCCCAGCAGCCCTTCCCCCATTCATATACAAACCACAAAAACGCCGGTAATGCACTATGATACACTTATCAAACCAACCCATTCCATTACGTCCCTGCATTTTTAGCGAGGGCTTGCACTGCCTCCCTCATTCGAACGGGTAGGCGATTGGTCTCCAGACCTCCCCATGTATGAACGGATTTGATCTCCCCATTCCGAACTTCCTAGGACTTCTAGAACGTTTTGGGGCACGACATCACTGTTCGCTCTGCTTCTTGACGGTGATCCACCACCTGCCGAAACGCTTCCTGCTCGACCGATCCATCCGCTTGCAGTTGCGATAGGGCTTAGCCGAGGGCTCCCTACCGGGCTCATGTTTGGGCTTTCGTTCGGTGTGAGAGAAGGAGAGCCGTCTGGAGACCTTCCCCTTCCAGGCCTCTGTCGCAGAACAGAAGGAGACTCCTCCCCAGAGAAAGACGACAAGAAGGGATCGGAATCCCCAAATTGCGGCTTATTCGAAATCCCGAATGTCTCAGGAGGTTGGCTATTACCCACATGGTAGTTCAAGTCCAATGGAGGTAGCGCCTGCCTTTTCGGGGTCACTGGTCTCTCGCTAAGAGCCGCTGATGCGGAGCTGCCGTTCGATGCCACCTCTCCATCGTCTACCAATATTTGCGGCACGTTTGACCCACTAGAACCTGCATCGTCGACAAATATCTGAGGAACCTGCGGCGCGCCAGATTGGGCACTGCGTCGATTCTTGAATCTCTTACTCCAGTATCTATACAGCGGTTAGCGGTGCCTGACGGGGGCACACATTCAACATTAGGCGATACTTACAGAGTTAAGAAGAAATTTGTAACAATATTCCTCTGCACCTGCTCTTCTACTCTTTGCAAGCGATAACGGCGACGAAGATATTCCTCCAATCTGGAACACATTAGAAACCCGAATGGCTATCACACGTAAGGACAGGTAGTACCTCAAGCTCTTATTATCGTTAATAATTTTATAGTGCGCCAGTATAAGCAGAACAGATGTGAAGGACACCCCGTATTCTTTATCAGCCGACACTAGACACTCTTCGTAGAATAGGGTGTAGATGTGGCGTTGCCTCCGGATCTTGTGAATGGGGATCATTGCAACGCGTCTGCTCAATGTATCCAAGTCCATGCCCTCTGCAATCCCGCGAGTTTTGCCGGTGCTGTGGCTTTGAGGATCCACTCTACAATCATCCAAGATATCAGGCACAGTGAACGGCTCTTCGTAAACTCTCATGGCAAAGATGCCGGTTAGGGTCTTGGTAACTCGTTAGCACTTGACACAACTGGTCTCGGGGCTCGGAACTTTTTTAATCCACGTACCCCTAGCAACCTCGGAAAGTTCTCCTTCGCGATAAACCCGGTTCCATCGGGATCGAACTTTTGCCATGCTTGTTTGAACTTTCTTATTTCTGGTCTAGAAACTACCGAAGAACCCCCGGAGCGTTGATAGACATAACTAAAACTTTCGAAGATAAGTGAGATAAACTAGCGCAGGTTAGTTGTAGCTTTACTAGAAGAATTTTGAGAACCATGCATACCATGCTCACGAAGATATACATGCTCAGGATGTTCCATGATACGAATAATGCACGCGCATACCCTTGACTGCCGCAGTCACTCTCGTAGAAATTTTCTCCATAAACACAATCAGGATGGCTGACCTCGAAGTCGCTCATAATCTGGTTCCATCCTTCGCTGGTTCCGGTTAGTCGCTTGTCTATCGCGCGGGAAACGGATCGAGACTTACCCGCAAGTCATCCTAAATAACAAGATCAATGCTTTAGGCACCGTTCTGAAATTCATGTTCCCGTTCCCGTTGGGCCCAATCCTCGTGAGACCGAACGTTTGGGTGAGCGCAATGGCATAGACCAAAAATAGCACAAACCAAGTTGCCATCAAGTTACCGATGGCAGCCAAACTCGCTCTGTAGACGACCATTAGAATAGCCTCACCAAGCATGAAGGATCATCACTAACGCGGCAGTTTTGAAAAGGTGGTCGAGGTCGTCGTTCCGCGGGATCAGCATCATCACGATCTATCAATCGGTTAGAAAATAAAGTCGCGAAAGTGATCTTACAGCAGCACTCACAGAGACAAGGAACAGCTTCTGCAACTGGATAAAGGTCCTCTCCTGGTATCCAGCCAGGAGCAGTAGGGTCGTAATAAAAGTTCCATTAACCGAGATGATCGCATATATATCCCATCTGCTTTTTAGAAAGTTGGACCATGTCAAGCCGATAACTCTGACAACCAGGTTCCCAACAAAGATCCCAGCGAACCCCAGGAAAATCCAGTCCCTTGTACGGTCCAAAGCCGGGGGGGCTGGGTAGTACTCCAATAGTAGAAGTATTGCATGCAATACTAGTACAACTGTGTATGTTCTTTGCCACCAACCGTGTTTATGAGTAGCCCTTTTGTAACACCAACTCTTCCAGTCTAAGTTAGGGCTGTCCTTAGGGCGCCTTGAAGGCCTGATCTGACGGAGGAGCTTTCTAAGCTCTAGCCAAGAACGCTGATCAGACGTCAAGTAAGCGACCCCAGTTTGTTCCGTGTAGTTTCTCATAAACACAGAGACAAATAGCGTCTAGCAATACCAATAAGTGATCAGACTTTCCCGTGAGGTGCTGACAGTACTTACCAAGACGAAGACAGCACCAAGTAAGTTGAACGCAACAAAGAATATCGAGTTGGTCTGTGAAGAAAACGGCCGAGGTTGTTGGCCTGGAGACCCTGATTAGTGAGATCAAGATTATAATATCAACAGAAACCTCATACCCCTTCCGACAATAGCTTGAACGTCGAACATGACACCCGTCCATCCTTCCTGGGACACAATCTGGAAGAGAATAAACAGCGAGCTTCCAAAGTTGTCGAAATTGAAGTAGGGATTGTCCACAGCTCTTGGCGCCAAAACCTCCCAATCGTAAGGTGTGCTAGGATATTCATGAACGCAGGATGTTAAGTTAGCAATTTCCTCTGAGCCGTCATTACAGGTATCCAATAATCCCGAGAACAGGTTTACTCCATAGATAGCAAACGGGATAATCAAACTGAGCGAGACAAATGCGGCGGAGAGAATTTTTCGCCCGCCAAGGATAACAACAGAATGGAATGTGTTCTGGGCAGCGCCGCTAATGTTTAGCAGTCGTAGGGCACGAAGCGCCTTGAAAGCTCCAACAGCCCGAGAGATCTCGCCCTGGTTCCTAAAGGAGGTTATGACACTAATCCAGAGGGTGATCAACACAACACAATCTATCACACCCCAGGATCCGCGAAGATATGCGTTTGGCGTCCATATTAACCCATCAGCAATGATTTTTATGAGAGACTCAATTGTGAAAAGAGCAACGAATCCTGCATCGGCGAAGGTGAACCAATTCCTTAACGAGCTACCGTGCTTTTCGAAGTATTCTTTCTGATACAAGGGTGTTGTTATGCAGGCTATGATGACCATTGAAACGATAGCACAGTAGACCAAGATTGAGAATGCGTAACTGAATGGCGTGTAAGGCTGTAATCCATCGTAACGAATATTGGCACGGCTTGGCCCTACCATCCTCTGGCAGAGGCGTCTTATCGGATTAGATGGCCTAAAGATATGCAGCGAGACATTATAGTTGGGGTATTTCTTTAAGTACTCTCGCTGTGCCTTTCTCCGCCGCTCCTGCTCCGTCACCACTTGTTGTGCCATGGCAGTTGGGGTCAGATCAGCAATGGACCGTGACGAACTATGAGCATATTAGCGCATGCCGCAAGACGGGATGAGAAGGACTCTATACGTAAATGAGTAGAATGGGTTAGGCTCCTTTTCACCTAAGACCCCTAATAATCTGTTTTTCATTCTCTCCCATGGCTTCTGCCTCACTTCTCCAGCGCGCCGAGCGTCCTCTGCCGTAGCTTGCAGAGGCTGGGCTCTGGTGGGTGGCTGGCGAGGTTGTTGTGCCCCCTCGTCCAAAAACGATTCAACAACAGCTTGCTTTGTTAACATCTCAAAAGCGGCCTGTCGGGAATGGGGCTCTTTGGCTTTCTGCTTTCCGATTCCAAATATACTCGATAGCGATATTCCCTGTGATGGGGCTGAGTAATCCTTGTTTTGCAGGAAAGTCTTAACCTGATAAATCCGTTTCTCGTCTTCTGTGACGTCAAAATTCTCTTGGACCACAGCAATAAACATGTTCAGCACGATGACTTGAGGATGTGTTAGTGAATATCAGTCCAGAGAGGCTAACATAAACTCACAGTTCCCAAGGATGAACCATCCAATAAAGAACATCGCGGTCATCCATCCAACGTTATAGGGCCTCTGCACATCAGTAGCCATATAGAGGATCGTCGTCCAATCCTCGCTGGAGAAGATCTGATACATGCCCAAGAAAGCGTTGAAAATGGTGTGAAACGAGGTTGCAGTAGTATCACCCCGGTACACTTTCGGAAGGTCTCCACGTACAATTTGGACAGCAAAGATGGCACACAAGAATGTGAGGAGCAACACGAACATGATCAAATTGGTCAAACCGGATACATTACCAATTACTTTGGACTGGACGACAGCGGGTTAGTGACTGCAGTCACAAATCGGATAATGGGTACTCACCAAAAGGTTACGAGTGACAGGGATGGCCCAAACAACACGATACACTCGGAGGATTTGAAAGAGCGTGAGCCAGTCGTAGATTCTCCCAGATTTATGAATGGGCGGTATTTGGATAGTGCATGTAATGAGAGCCAAGGCAAGATCAACCAGATTCCGGGTTTTCTTGTGGAAGGTGCGCCAATCCGCCATCAACCTCATGAAAATCTCAAGCGCTAGCACGAAGGTAACACCAAGTTCCACAGTGTCTTCCACTGCAATTAGTATCTCCTCTTTTGCGCTAACTATCGACGTACCTATAACGGTTTCCCGTCCGCGACTCATACTTGAGCTACGGAAGGCTTGGGCAAAGATGCCGACCGAGATCACCGTGACCCATACATAAAACGTCCGATCGTATATCCTTCTCAAGGGATTAGGTTTTCGAACAAATTCCTCTTCATCGGCCTTAGACGAGGTGCTAGACAATCCCCGTTAGTGGCAACATAAAAAACGACTCCAGAACCTCTTACTCTTCTTCCGCAGCAAAAGCACTCTTCCTCGACTCCTCACGAATAACTTGGAAGGATGATGTAATTACGGCGATTAGCTAATGTGTTCATTACATCAGCCAGGTAATCAACGATGATAAGGTCCAATAACTTACCAAATTCGCTAACCAAAATGCCAAGACAACAACACTTATTTAAGGTTAGCGTAGGCGCATGGCCGAACAAGTGAGAGATAATCATACCCGCAAGCAAAGACTAGATCACAATCAGTACCGTGTCCAAGTTAGTATACAGCTAGTTGGGGGACTCACATAGAGCAGACGTCAAGTAGTCGCTATCAGCCATATAGTAGAGTAAGTTCGAAAAGGTATTCGCAGTCATAACGACGAAAACCAATTCCAGAGACTGGGCAATGTTGTCAAAGCTAACCGTTCCTCCATAAGGATTGTTACTAGAAACGCAGAACGAATTGACCGGGCATATATATCCTTTCGGGAATATCGCCCCGGGTGTGCCATCTTCATAGACGTAAGGCTCCGCTAGCCCAGTGAGCTTATTCCGATGCCCTCCACAAAACTGGAATTCTTGCGTAAAGTTTCTCTGAACTCCCTCCGGATCAACCCACACACAATTTCTCCTAAAAGAACTCTTGAAACTCTGAACACCAATAATGGCGAATATAAGCCAGAAGAACCCGATGAGCAATGCCACGTTGACAAGAAGGGGCGCAGCCTTCTTTAAACTCCTTAGAATCACTGAAGTACCACTGGTGATCCCCAACAGTCTAAGAATGCGAAGGCAGCTCATCATTCGGAAGACGTACAAATGCCGTTCCGCCTCTACGCCAGTTATACAGAGCCACAGCGAAATCCAATACGAAATGACGGCAACAAAATCCAAACGATTGAAGGAGTGACGCAGAAATGCACGCCGTGCCATTCGAAGCCGGGCTTGGCACCGGCCATCTGGTGGAACAGCGCTATCAGCGAGTTGTAAGTTACTCGTAAGTGACCGGAGAAGAGACGGAGGTTGTTGAAGCTGTGATGGCGATGGGGCTCTGACAGATGGTTTCCTCCTAGGCGATAGCAGCTTGTGAGTGTTTTCCATTATTCGGCGGCGGAGTTCGCCTCTCCCTTTCGGGTCATTTTCTGCCCGGGGATTCAGGAACACCCCCGAAACGACGCATCGAGCGATAATCTCGACCCTTGATGATATCAGACAGCTTTCATGGAGGCAATTGAAGGGTGATTTCTCACGTATAGATACTAAAGAGCCCAAGTAAAGCATAATCGATGTTCGAAGTACCCCAACCCCTGCTTCGAGGATCACGATATATACTGGGCGCGGCGTCAATGGTGAGGAGAATGGTTTGTATTAATATTAAAAGCAGAATTAACGGCTCGGCAGCACTAAGTTTATGTAAGTTACAGCCAGATGTTAAACGTTACGGTCTAAGATAGGTGGCTTACGGGTGAACTAGTACATCACATAAGAAAAGTCGCAAAGGATTGGTGGGAGAAAAAATGCGCAAGGTATTTCCTCTTAGTGGATTAGAATTGACACGCCATGGGCCCTCGCCTGGGCTGTGTTCCGGCCTCCTAAGAGGAGCGGTGGGCTTTTCCTCAGGATCAGAGGCGTCAAAGTCATCATGAAGGTGGAATTGGATGGCGGGTATGCCGGGACGGAGCGGTCCACCGGCATGGGATTTTGAAGAACTCCTTCGGCGCAGGCCTTGAGTAACAGCTTCCGGATCATTGCTAAGATTAACTACTCGCTGTGACATATTCTGGACAGCGACGGAAACCCGCTTCACTGGTGATGATCCGGGTGATAAAGATCGGTTCCTCGACAACGATCCTGACCTAGATGGAGCACCGCCAGCAACAGACCCGGACCTCGAGCGTGTCCCCCCCTTCCCCCTGCTTAGACCCGAGCTCGTGCCCTCTTCGGCGGAAAGTAAATCATCGCCCAATGACGGTCCAGGCCCAAACCTCATCGATCGGCTCGTATGCCCGGGGCTCAAATCAGACCCACTCATCGGTTGCACACTGCTCGGGTCTGTCAGTCTAGCGGTATCATCGTCGTCAACGCCGTAATATGGACGACCGGGAGACGGCTCATCATCATCCGATACCGCCCATGGCGATATCGTTCGCTCCAAGTTCCGAGGGGATAGCCAGCTACCCCTCCTCCCTCCACTCAGCTCCCCCGACGCATCCACAAATCCTTCCGCAAACTCAACAACATTTGGCGCCTCCTTTTCACCATCATCGTATTGAGGAAGTAGTAGATCGGGAACCTCCGGCCTTGGCGGCAATCTCTCCTCCGGCACTCTATCATAGCTTCTCCTATGCCTATGTAACGAAATCTTCCTCCCAATCTCAGCCCCCAAATTCGTTGTTCCCCGTAACAAAGATCGCGACCTCCCGATGCCGGAGCTCAAACCAGTGTCGCCAGAATTCGATTGCTGGCCATCGGGAGGCCATGAGAGGTCTTGCAGGGGTATCGGCTCAGGAGAAGGGGGTTTGCTCGGGTTGCGGCCATTGGAAGCCATTAAGGACTGTGATGGTGATTGCGGCCAAACCTAGAAGATTCAGATGTCAGGTAACGGCGATCAGTGAGGAGGGTTGCAGTCAGTGGAGGGCGGAGGAGGTGTTGTGGGTAATGAATGGGTGAGCGAGCGTCGCGGAGGCGTAAGGGGATGAGCGAGCACGGGAGAGAAGAGGAAAGGAAAAAGAAAAACAACCATTGAAAATCAGAGAAAGAGAGGTCTGACTTTAGACGATGTGACCAGCTCTGGACCGTACAGAGCGGGCAAAAGAGAGGCGGCTCAACACATATCATAGAAAGGAAGGACAGCTGGAAAAAAAAAGTGCAACCCTAGGGCTAAGGATAATTCGGGAATTGTTGGAGATTTCCCAGACGAAGAATCTTTGGAGAGCTTCACCCCTGCAAGCGGCCGAACGTGGCTTTTCAGCATGAAGCAGCTGCTTCCAAGCCCACAAATGGTAACACACCCACACCTTTTATCCCACGCTCCTTACTGTGTACGAGTACGGTAGAGTACTCGAGTACTGTGCTGTAAGAATACAATGCTGGTACTCTACAAGTACTGCACTCGAGTTCAAGTGGTGGTATCGAGTAGGGCACTGTATCCAGTGTATGACGCGGGTAAAATAATATAATAATATGGTACAAAATTTAACAACAGCATAAGATAACTCCTACCACGAGACACGGTATGATACAAGTATCATACATGATTTGTGCACTACAATAACCTAGAGACAGTAAGCACAATGGATATCGCCCTCAGCCTCTGCACCGGCACAGCCCGTGCCGTACTGTACGAGGCTGGCGCCAAAAATGATGAGCAATAGCGACGAAAACAACACCTAGAATTCGGATACAAAATACCCCCTATGCGATATCTGAAAGACAAAGAGAACCAATAAGATAAAACTATAAGAAATAATTCAGAAAAGATAGACATCAGCAAAAAAAACTGTCTTGCCAGATGCAGAACATCTGCATCTGAACATGACAGGTCATTTTTCTTTGTTGTATACACCCAAACTGTCCAGATGCTGACTCATTTCATCAGTCCCATCTGGCATGTTCCTACAAACATACTTTTGCCCCCACCCCTTTGGGCATCTATTGTAGGCCCTGTTCATTCCAATACTGTCTTCTCTTTTACTCTACTCATGCCAAGGTTGTGACTAAGCATTACAACCCATGGTTGCTTACTGGCTTGCAACCTGAGTACTCCTCTAGAGTACCTGTCAGTCCAACATGACTTGTAGCTTAATACAACTTTTTGTAGTTTAACATAACTTTTTATGTAGCTTAACACAGCTTTTTATAGCTCAATATAAATTTTTTGTAGCTCAATACAACTTTTTTAAAACTTAATATCGCTAGTAATTTGTTTGTAGCTCAATATGTTTTGTTTAGAATTTTAAGACATAAAGATCTATTCAAGTTTTATAACAAAGTTCTTGGAAGCTATAAAGTTCTATTAAGCTACAAAATTCTACTATACTTCAAAGGAATATTATATAATAAGACTAAATCTAGCTATCTAGCTTTCTTATACTACAATATTGTATTAAGTTCTAAAAGTATATCAATCTACCAGGATTTGATTATTCAGAACTATAAGGTTATAATTATATAGTTATAAATTTTCTTAAAGTATTAAAGTTATATCAAGCCTTAAAGTAATATTGAGTCACAATTTTAAGCCATAAAAAAAGTTGTATTGAGTCATAAAAACTATATTAAGCTACTTGAAAAGTTGTATTAAGCTACAAAATATTACATTGAACCAGAAGTTATGTTGAGCTATAAAGTCATATTGAGCTGGCAGGTACTTTAGAGGAGTACCCAGGTTGTGATACTTAGTTACAACCTTGGTACAAGTATGCCATTATTTTGTCTGATAGTGTAGCAACTACCTCTGACGGATACTACTGTAACAGACAAGGTCCGGGCATGTAGTCCCAAGCATGTCACAGTCAGGCTCCAGAGATATGAATAGGTTCAGCATTCCACCAAGAATCTTAGTATCAGGATTCCAGTATTCCACTGGAGGTCTAGACAGAGGCTCTTAGTATCTAAGGTGAATTTGGCTTATTGGTATGTAGCCAAAGAGCAAGGTCCCAGAGGGTCCAGTATCCCACTGGAGGTTAAAGCATCTGGACTCATATCCCCCTACCAAGGTCTTTACTGAGCTCCGGTATCCCACCAGAGGTCTAGGTAAGGGGGCCTTGTGGGCTTAAGGTACTTCTATCTCACTAGAAAATAGCTGAATGATAAGGTTCAAGGAGGGTTTCCAACATCAAGGCGGAGTTCACCTGCAAGATACCTAACCAACTAAGGTCCAACTAAGGAGCAACTATTGTGAACCAAGATAATTGTCTGATATCCTACAGGAGGTTTAGGCAAGAGGCCTCATGGGGTTAAGGTTCTTCTATCTTACTAGGAGACAGTTAAAAGATGAGGTTCAAGGAAGGTTTCTGATATCAAGCCGGAGTCCACCCACAAGATGCATAATCAACTAAGGTCCAACTAAGGAGCAACCATCGTAAGCCAAGGTAATAATTTAGTATCCTACTGGAAGTCTAGACAAGGGTCCTTGTAGGCTTAAGAGTCTTCTATACCACTAGGAGACAGCTGAAAGGCAAGGTTTAAAGAGGGTTGTTGGTAAACTGAAAAGGTCCTAAGGTTATTACCTAATACTACATTGTTAAGGAATTCATAGGGTCGAATACCTCCAGGTCCTAGAGTCTACCTGGGTCAAAAGAAAAACTGCTATCAAGACAGGTAATTAAAATCGGGCCGACACGAGAGAAGGCCATGGGTACAAGAGTTTAGGTGGGAGAACTAATATTGAGATAGTTGACTGAGAATAGGTGGACATGAGGGAAGGCCACAGGTGCAAAGGTTCAGGTAAGAGAACTATCATCGAGATAGTTAACTAAGGATAGGTAGAGATGAGGGAAGGTTACAAACGCAAAGGTTCAGGCAGGAGAACTATCATTAAGATAGTTAATCAAGGACGCATGGATACGAGGGAAGGCTACAGATGCAAAGGTTCAAGCAGGAAAACTATCATTAGGATAGTTAACCAAGGACAGGCAGACAGGAGGGAAGGCCAAAAGTCCATTAATCAAATAATTGTAAACCATACAGCAGGCTCACGATTGGTAGTCAAGCTAAGACTTGCAAAGCAAAGACAAGAAGTTAAGTACATCAGCAAAAATACATTCTGGGTCAGATCCATGCATCTCACATCACGACACAGCACGCTTGTCCCCTGCGTCCCCTGCGTCCCCTGCATCTCCTGCGTCCCCTACGTCCCCTGCATCCCCGGCATCCCCTGTGTTCCTTGGGTCTACTACTCCGGGACAACGCCCCCCTGCATCATCTGCGTCCTCCTTTTTACCCTGTCGATTCCCTCCAGCTCCAAGTAGGCGTTATCCGCCCATATGTCCGCACCATGCCCTGTTTCTAATCCAATCTTGTCATCATCCTGATGCCCCAACCTGAGGTCAACTGCGAGAT